TTCCAGCAAGCGGGACTGGCCTAGGGGATTTTATAGGGGTTTTAATTACTTTTAAATTTGACATTCTTAAATATTTCATTTTAATCAAATTTTAAACTAGGTGTAATATGTTAGCTTTTTATCATTTGTCAGCCGCCCTGAGTCCGAAAGGAGAAGGGCGGGATATAAATACAATTAATAATAATAATAATAATAATAACAACCAGGTGACTAACTTATCACCTGCAGTGATTCACTTTACAACTGTGGCAAGAAAAGTCATAAAAAGAAGCAAAACTCACTTAACAAATGTCTCACTTAACAACAGAAATGCTGAGCTCTGGTCTTAAATTGAGGACTACCTGTATATCTAATATTTAAAAGATTATTTTTTTTTATTCTGGAGATTCTCTTTAGAATACTAATACTAATATCCTCTCTGTATTTATCTTATATTTAAATCATATAAAAATGTAACATCTTTCAAGATAATGGAAAAATTCACTCAAATGCTAATTTTTTTCTACCCTATAACTAGGTATAATAGATTGTAAAGAGTTCAATAACTCATCTGTTCTTTGTTTTTAAATATTTTAATGATTGCAAGCGGCCCAGAGCAGCTGAGAGTTGGGCAGCATATAAATGCAATAAATTATTAATATTAATAAGTCATTCTGTTAGGCTTCAGGGAAAAAATAGAGTTCTCATAAGCAACAAAATATTTCGAGCTGTTTTTAAATCATCATCTTGCAGCAGTAATGCTATCAAGCTGGGGTATAGATGAAACAAGTGTATTCAATTGCTCCTACTGTATTGAGATAAGCTACTTTTGATTGCATCATTCTCATGTCACAGGGTATATCCATTCTATAGGTACCATAGTCCTCAACTTGGGACCAGAATTGAGCCTAAAATTTGTGTTGCTAAGTGAAACAGTTGTTAAGTGAATTTTGCTCCATTTTATGACCTTTTTTGCCACAATTGTTAAGCGAATCATTGCAGTTGTTAAGTTAGTAACACAGTTAAATGAATCTGGCTCTTCCCCATTGACTTCGCTTGTCAGAAGATCGCAAAAGGTGATCCATGATTCTGGGACACTGCAAGCATCATAAATATGTGTCAGTTGCCAAGCATCTGAATTTGGATCACATGACCACAGGGATGCTGCAAGGGTTGTAAGTGTGAAAAATAGTTATAAGTCACTTTTTTCAGTGCCGTTGTAACTTCAAACAAAATGAACTGTTGTAAGTTGAGGACTAGCTGAACTGAATTATCCACATTTTTCTTCTCTTACCTACTAAAACAGGCATGTCAAACTGCCAGCCCACGGGCCGGATGCGTCACACCGAAACTGAACCCACCCCATTGCCGGCAATAGGGAAAAAGTCATGATACGTCGCGTGATGTCACATGACGTCATGAGTTTGACATGCCTGTACTAAAACAATTGTGACATTAAGAACTAGTATCTGAGTTGGCTTTTCTGTTGCTTTCCCTCCACTTCCTTTTTTGTGATGTAATTTTAAGTTGTAAATTAGAAAATAGGTTTATAAACAGCTTGAAGGTCTCTTAACCTGATGAATGGGATAATAAAGTAGTAAAGGCAATTATGTTAAGTGGTAATGAATATTCTAATAATCTCTACTAAATAACACTCATCAGAGTTATAGAAGGAATTATCAACTTCCTGATCGTAAAGGGAGGCAAGTAAAGCATTTGTCATACTAGCAAGTAACTTGCTTTTACCTAAACTAGCATAAATACTCATGATGGGTACAGTACCAAAAAATATTGCTTCTCAGTGGTTTTGCATGTATACCTGCTTACAAGCTGTGATTTGTGTTTTTTCCAAAATATATAATATGGAGAGTTCTTGAGTTTGTTAGTCTTTGTCTGGTGTGTCGTTAAATCTTTGTTCTTAATTAAAAACAACAACAGCTCTCTCTGGAGGGAGGTATTTAAGAAGAGAACTGTTGGTGGTGCTTGATCATTTGCAATTTGGCTCTTGTCTGCTTCCTATATGCCAACTTCTTCATGGCTTTCTAGACACATTTATGAGGCATTATTGCTATAATCAATATAATAAATTGGTCAAGTGGAATAAAAAGAATCCCGTTGGGTAGTATGTGAAGCGACTAAAATCAGGTGAAGCAAGTCCTCGGAGAGTTAAAGACATACCGGGAATGGACCTGAGCTGAAGATCTCGGGCTGAAATTCTCCATGTTTCTGGAATGCGTCAATATCCTTGGCAACAAAGAACTGCTAGACAATTGTTTAGAATACCATGACAGAATTTGGTGACATCAGGCTCCAGCTATGGATCTGATGGGGTGGCTGGGTTTAAAGACTAAGATTTAATACACTATATTAGCCAGATATTTTTATGCTCATGAAGCATGGAAATGGAGATAAGAACATCAACATCTGGCATAACATACAGGCGGAGTGGATGCCAGGTAAGGCATATCCCATTACTCCCAAAATTGTAAGAAAAGGCAGAAAAGATCCTGTATAAACTACAGGTATTAGGAGAAAATGCAAGTCAAAAGATCTCTTTGCCACAGGTTTTAATAGGTATATGTAAGAATATATATATTAACATTTATCCAATAAAGTTTTAACGATTTGGGGGAATTGGAAAACAAGTATTTCAGGGTTTAAAATTCAAATCCTTCATTTTTATTTTCTAAATTGGAAATCCGGTTGACGTGTTTGAAATCCAGAAATTGGAAACAGCTCTTCACTGGCAGTTTATGTATTAACATGAAATTGCTTATTTTCAAATACTAAATGTTAATTTAAGTTTTTATAATTTAGCAAGTTATCCTTTGACAAAATTTCTTTTATTTCAGCACTTCTAGACTGAATGTTTTTTTAGAAAAAGAGAGTAAACTGGTTTTCTTCTGTCCTAGCATTTTTGTAGGCTACTTCTGATTCACTTCATTTCCTTCTTATAGCACAATGACATCCTTAACTAGGTCTGTGAATCTGAGGTATGATTTGGTAAATCACTGCTAACATAAGCAAAGAAGGTATTGGAAAGATAATTGCAGTGGTCCGCAATGCAATACTGTTGTATAATTTCAGCAGCAAAAATATCTTTAAATATTTGAATCTTGATTTATTTAATTAAATACTTAAAGTATTCACTTAGACACACTAAATATAATTCAGTACAAGAACATCCTGTAGCAAAATATTGCAGTAGATCATAATCTATTCTATGAGAACAGAAGTCAGATGCTAATTCAGAATTTCTTTTTTAATTTTAATGTATAACAAGATTAAAAAAAAAACAATTACAAAAGATAAACAGTGAATGCAAAAAACTAATAAAATATGAGAAACAAAAATATTGAACATCTAAATCAGGGGTGTCAAACTGCCGGCCCATGGGCCGGTTTCATCATACCGGAGCCATGCCCACCCCATTGCCGGCAATGGCAAAAAAGCTCCGATACATCGCACGACATCACGTGACATCGCGAGTTTGACATGCCTGATCTAAATACATCATCATACATTAAACATTAGATAGAAATCAGTGGTTCCCAAAAAATACCTTATAATTGTTATACAATAGGGAAAAAATGATAATACTGCTGTATAGTGCGTAAAATATCATGAAATTTATGTCAGAGAGAAACTTAACTGCTTCATTTTATTCAGTATCCTGTTTTTGAGAGTGCCTGAATATATAAAAAAGCCCTATACATAAGAGTAATCACTTCGTCATTTTTGTTTTCCTGTGAGTGATATCCATACCATCCTGATTCACACAACATGCTAAGCCATAATAGAGTGGCTGGATTGGAGTTTGTATTAAACCACAACTTGGTTTAATAGGTGAACTCAGTTCTCTCTTTGAGTGCAACTGACTCACTGTGATTAATAATCACTGATGATCTACACTCTATTGATGTATCCTTTAGCACCTATCAAACTCCATGCCTCATCTGGGTTTTTTGTTTTTTCTGGGGGGGGGGGGTTGAAGATACTTTCAATTAAAAATGACTAGTTAGCAAGCTTCAAATCTTTATTTCAAAGATTGCTTTTGGGCCCTGCATATAGCCAGGAAGCATTCTTAGGAAATAAACATTATAGAAAGTTGCACTGCAGAACTTTTGAACTGTGTCTACCTGACTAGGAAAGAAAAGCTGAGATACTAGGAATCATCTTAGGTAGAGAAAGATGTGTAGCAACCTCATCCATTGGCTTTCTCACAAACATTTTAACACAGCTCATGGCATTCTTTTCATTAAGAGTGCCCATAACATGCTCTTGACCTGCATGTTGAATCCCCCCTTCTCAAATTCCAGAGCCAAGAGTAGTAGCCAGGCAACATCATCTCTTTCAAGTAAGCCTAGTGGCACTTTTTTATTTTAATTTTACAAGTGTTGCTATTTACTCCTACCTGAATCAGGAGCAAGCACATTTTACTATGCATTGCACATTTATTCCAAAGTAAGGTGGTACCAAACTGAATCACTACTTGAGGCTCATCCTGTCTTTTAAGCCCATGACTATAATTTAATTTCCCGGCAGGAAGAGAGTTCCCCAAAATTCCTTCAGAATCAAATGGAGCGATTAATGTTTATAAAATAACATTACACAGGACAATCAAAATAAGCACTTCAAAATAAAAGAAGACAAAAGTGAAATTATATGTCTCTAATGTATTGGGTCTGATTTATTCTTCTAAGTGTGTTCTAGCTTGTTTTTCTAAGTACTAGTATTTTATCAGGTTGACTTTGCATCAATTTTTTTTATTTACTTTTTACTTGGTTTGATATTTTATCATGCTGCTTTTTATGACGTTTTTAGAATTTCATTTTGTACTTGCATTGTGTTACTTCAGGTGAAACGTAAAAGAATTTGTTTTAAATGTAAATGAATAGTTTGCTTGCCCAAAAACATTTTGAGGAAACAAGGAATTGCTGGGCAAAATCAATCTAAGTAGCACCTTAATTAAATTTTATAATAGGTAGCCAGAAGTAAACTAAATTAAAGCTATTGATTCTTGGTCAGACAAGAAAATAGTTTTTATGTTTTCTGAATTCAAGAAATAGGTAGATAGATGAGAGAAGCTCTGGCATCTTTTTCATTTTATGGAGAAAGTTTGATAGATAGAATTTTACATAATATTTCTAGTATGATGCTATTATAAGCTTACACAAATCTAACAAGATATTGGTAGTTTTATATTTGATTCTTTTCCTAATTAATATGCTGAGTATTATGCAACATGCTAAGCCATAAATGAGATTTACAGACAGCAATGGCTGGGTTTGCAAAATATTCTAACTTGTTTTTTTTATTATTATTATTATGCAATGTGTAATCTCTTACCTTTGAACGGGTAACATAGGCTCTGATTGGCAGGAGGGCAGGTGATTTTAATTCTCATTGTGTGCTAGAAGTAATATATATCTTTAGCAAGCTAATTTTATTGGGGAATGCAAGGTAATTTATTTTGCTGATTACAGATAGTTCTCGACTTATAACAGTTCCTTTAGTGACCGTTCAAAGTTACAACAGCACTGAAAAAAGTGAATTATGATGATCATTTTTCACACTTACGACCTTTGTAGCACCTCCCATGATCGTGTGCTCAAAATTCAGAAGCTTGGCAACTGGTTCATACTTATGACCATTGCTGTGCCTCCAGGTCATGTGTTCGCTTTCTGAGAAGCAAAATCAATGGGGAGAGCCAGATTCACTTAAAAACCAAGTTAGTAAACAATTGCAGTGATTCACTTAACAACTGTGGCAAGAAAGGTCGTAAAATGTCACTTAACAAATGTCTCACTTAACAACAGAAATGTTGGGCTCAGTTGTGGTCGTAAGCTGAGGATTACCTGTACGTGGTACATGGTGTGCTTTTGAGGGCCTCAGGATTTATAACCTTCAACCATCCTCAGTTGCATTGTTTGCATAGAGTGATCATTTTTAATGTTAATGACTGAATTACACTTTGATTATGAAAGGAAACAAATCTAGAAATGTATATACATAAATTTGTTCTTGGATTTAACCAGTTAAGGCACTAGACTAGAAACCAGGAGCGTGTGAGTTCTAGTCCTGTCTCAGGCATGAAAACTGGCTGGGTGACCTTGGACCAGTCACTTCCTCTCAACCCAACCCATTTCAGAGTGGTTGTTATAGGGAAAATAGGAGGAGAAAGAGTGTTAAATATTATATATGTGTTTGCTGTCTAGATTGAAGAATGAAAAAAAAATCTAAACAAAAACTCCTTAAGTCTAGATATGGTCTGTAGAAACTGAGGTGGTTTTTACATTCTTATAGTCAGTCCCACAAGAGGGAGCTCAAATGTTGTTTCTTACATAGTTTAAGGTAAGCCTTAACTATGATTGGCCTACATTTTTGATAGGTTCATAATAATATAGTTTAAAACGACTGAGCCAACAAGGAAATAGGGCAACTTCTCAGGAGATGCGGTAATATTATACCTGCCTTAGTCATTAAACATAAGGAAGAAACAGGGCCAGGCTGGATATGTAGGTAAATTCTCCCCTGCTTTTACAGGAACATAATGAAGACTGGGTTACAGGAAGAGAGGTAAAGAGGAGGAGCCAAAGGGTGTCTCAGAAAATTAAGGCTTCTTTATTTTAAAATAAGAAGGAAAATTGTATGTGTCGTGCATGACTAATGACTTCTACATGAAAAATGTACCAAAGCCAGTTCATCTTAATTCTTTCAAGAATCTGTGAAGAAATACCAACTCTGAAAACTTACCATTATGATGATGGCTGTAAAGCAATAACAATAACAAATCAAAATATTGTTGTCAACGCTGCTAACATCGGATGTTCTTGCTTTGACAACAACAACAACAATAATAATAATAATAATAATAATAATAATAATAATAATAATAATAATAATAAAGTTGGAAGGGACCTTGGAGGACATCTAGTCCAACCCCCTGCTCAGGCAGGAAACCCTATACCATTTTGGACAAATGCAGCCATTTTCTCTTTAACCTGTGTGTTACTTTTAGAGTTAGCATTAGATGGTGCTGGGGGGGAGGGGGAAGAATGTGTTTGGGGATTAGTTAGACATAACAATATTGCAGTAGAGTATTCTTCAAGGTTGTCTGAAATAAGAGAAGATAAGAAATGGCTGGGTTATGAAACTGGAGGGAAGGTCTGCATTTCAAACTAATTGGAGAATGTGATTTATGATTGTTAATTGGAGGAGGGAATTGTGCTTTGATACTATGTGTTTAGGGGAGGGGAATTCAGATTTTGGCTTCGACCATGTACCTGCCCATGCCATGTTATTTTGAATAAAGATTCTTTAAGGTAAACAATGCCTCGAAGTTCTTTGAAGAGTAACATCTGTCGGAACCATGACAGTTGTATCTTTTGTGGGGGGAGTCTTCCACCTTTTCTTTTTTTTGGAAATAAAGATTTGGGACTGGAACTCTGCTGTA